CGCTCCCAAATGTACAAAACACATAGGCACTGAATAAATATTGGCTCCTTCCCATTATAAAAAAATCAGATTTTTATGGTGTTTCTCGTGCCATATTCACAAATCAAATTTTGCGTGGGGCTTGACAATTCAAGCTGTGCTTCCCCACCTGAGCTAGAAACACACCTTATGGACACCTTTTTTTGTTCAGTTGTTCCTGTTTAAATGGCTTTAGACAAGAGAAGAAACTGAGAAGTCCAGAACTTACAAAATCTTACTCGGAACCAAAACAAACTCAGGCAGCACTAGCACATGCATTAGACTGGCTTAGTGAGAAGAGCCCGGACTCCGCGCCACTTGGGTCATTTTACTTTGCAAAGGCCAATAATAGCGTTGTTTCATGTTAAGTAGCAACAGCCAGGAGACTATAGATACCATGAAATTGAAAACGTGAAGAATTGTGCTTTCCTCTTTCCTGGCAGTTTCTCATAATTGCAATAGAGATCTAATTAGGTGAAGCCTTTGATACCAAATTTCATGTAAGTTTGGTGGGGTTTTTTTTTTTTATTAATAAACTTCTAGAAACGAGATTTTGCCACAAGTCAGATCGTGAAGCCACAGGGAGGGTCTGGTTGCCTCAGTGGCCCCAAAGCATCTCCCAGCAAACCTGCTTTCCATTATCTCCAGGTCAACAGTGCTTGAGCTTTGACAGACAGTCTGGCAAGCAGCACTGATTAATAATTCATTTTCTCTTTTCCTTCAAAGACTTACACAGTTGCCAATCAGAGCTCCCGATCAGCTATGCTAACCGGTGTGGACACACCGGCCGGATATCCTCCCTACGGAAAGCAAAGCGATATGAAGTTTGAGTTCTCCTGGGCGGCCTTATCTCAAGGAGTCGCATAAATTCCATCAGGTTCTCTAAAATACTGAAACAAGCTTGCAGGCCCCAGGGGAGCAGGGTGCCCAGGAGGGGAACAACTTTGGTTGCTCAAGAAGGAATCGTTTGTTATTAATGAATTTCAAATTTGATGTGCTGCTGGCCTGCTTGGTGGTCACCGGGGGTCCATATAAAACTGCCCACTGGAGCCTGTCACAGCCAGCTGTGCAATATGCACGGTAGGAGGACCGGTGACATAAGCAGAGTGCTCCTTAAGCGTCGCCCACAGTGGAGCCGACAGAGCCAGAGCGCTTTACATGGGCTGCTGAGTTACGTTTGTCAGCAGTGGCTCATAAGCCGTCACTGCGCCTTCTTCACCGGTTCTGCCTTCCAGTCTTACCTGCTGTGGCTCCTCCCCAACACACACCTGCGCCCACACCCACAAGGCCAACCGCGGCCACTGCCGTTCTGTGTCACAGGCTGGCTTGTGTCCACCCCTCCCAAATTCAGATGTTGAAGTCCAAACCCCCAACACCTCAGAATGTGACTGTATTCAGAGAAAGGGTCTTTACAGAGGTCATTAAGTTAAAATGAGGTCATTATGGTGGGTTCTCATTCAATACGACTGGTGTCCTTATTAGAGGAGGCGATGAGAACACAGACACGCACAAAGGGACAATGTGAGGACCATGTGACCATGTGAGGACACGGGGAGCAGACGGCCATCCACACCCCTAAGAGAGAGGCCTCAGGAGGAACCAGGCCTGCACACATCTGGATCTCGGACTCCAGCCTCCAGGATGTGAGAGAACATGTCTGTTGTTTAAGCCGCCTGGTCTGTGGTACTTTGCTATCATGGCCCCAGCAAAGGCGTGCGCCCTAGGACGCAGACAGCACATGAAAACACCTCTCGTTTCTAAAAGACACAGACCAATAGATGGGCTTCCTTATTCAAAGTTGGGTGCGTGCTGGTACAAGTTGAAGACCAGGACACTTGGCAGAATTTGAGAGGCAGTGGAGAACATTCTACCAGTTCAGTACGTTCTGGAAATACAAATTAAATCACAAACGTGGAGGAAGGAGGTAGTACTCTAATCATTACTAGCAGCTTAATGGTATTTCGCTGAAGCTGCGAGTGAGATCTGCTGGCATCTGGCTGAGGCCAACCAGGCTGCAAGGAAAGCGAGTGTCAATGGGGTAAGGAACATAGAGAGACAGGGGAAGGCTGGTGTGAACTGAGGAGAAACCTGGTGGCGAGCGCAGCAGGTACACGCACCCCAAGAGAGAGAAGCACAGGGAGGTAGGGAGGGGCGGCCCCTCCTGGGCCAATGCGCATCCCAGGCACCGGGCAGGGTCTCGGGTTCTGTCTGCTGCTCACCCCAGGCCTGCAGTGAGTGCCCAGCCTCCGCCAGTAGCTCCTCTCCCGGGACACAGGAGGCAGGCTGTTTAGGCGCCTTGTGCCTCCCAGCGGAAGCGCCCCACGCCAGCCCACGCCGGTCTCCCTATCACCCCCTCCCTTACTATGGAAAACGGTGTCCATTTGAGTTACCACAGCTTCCATGTGAGTTACACTTTCTTGAGAGAAGCACAAGGCACTTCAGACAGGAAGTGCTTTCCTCTTCCATTTTCCGTACACTCTGCGCTACGCAAGCCCCAGGCTCCTGCTTGTCTGCCTGAGGCCCAGGAGGCCCAGGGCAGGCACGTGACCAATGGCTGTGCCCTGGCACTTGGTGTGCCAACAGCTCTCCATTAGTGCAACCTACAGGCCCCTCGGACTCACGGCTGAGCCCGGACCCTTCTGCACTCATCCTGCCGACACCACCAAGGAAGCACCGCAGCCTCTGCAGCACATGGAAGCAAACCAAAGCACAGACACTTGCATAAAGCCACGCTAAATTAGGGAGATGCCTAGAAGTGTTCCCGACACTAACAGAGATGAACAGGCACACACACACACAAAGAAGTCGCCATGTGCTCACACCCGCTAAAGGAGCAGGCATGTAATGAAACACATGTAGCAACTTTGCAACATCCAACACAGTACACCCTCTCAGCTGGTAATGGCGGGACAGGAGTTAAGAATGAAGTGTCACCTGGAGATTCACGGTGCACCCTAATGCTCCAAAAGTAAGTTCATCGGTACTTGGGTCCTTCCCAAGGTGATGACGTTTCCAATCTCCCTTTTGCTCTCATCTCCCATCTCCCGAGTTTGACACACATCCTACCTAGGGACCAATTCTTGACGACAGGAATCGAATAAGAGACCCCCTCCCCACACACGCGGCAGCCTCGTGGCATCTAGCACTTAGCAGTGAATCCCTGAACAGCAGTTTGGGGGCTTCCTTCTACCTCCACTCTCGGGTAGATGCATGGCCCCTTTGTGTTGCATTTGGCTGGGCTTTTTACAATAGATCGAAATGCTAATAATACCGCAGCCCACCTCATGGGGCACTTTTAATAGATGACGATGGAACCCCACACAGCGCAACAATAACGTTAATAATTAAAGACCAGCCACTTATCTTTGCTCTTAGAACACTTGGATTTTCTTAGGAACCGAGGCCTCAAGAGCGCTGTTTGGTTGGGTCCATGCCCGCAGCCCTGTCCCAGGCCACCATGGAAGGAAGCCCCACCTCAGGGCCTCACCAGCACCCGTGGCTGCCTTTCCTAGGGCACCTAAAACATCTGGGGGGGCCCTCCTGCATTTGGGGGGCAGGGCTCCCGACTACTCACCTCCGGCCTGGGGCCTGGTTCCCGGGAGTGCCTCATCAAAGCTGCCTGTGCTTCTCCGAGGGCTGGTGAGTGGCAAAGCCATAGTGGAAATTCATGTTGACTGACGACAGGCCAACGTTCTTTTCACACTTTGTACACTATCTGCACATCTGTTCGCCTGGCTTTCTATTTCTACAACACTCGGGAATTCGGTGCTAAAACCCATCAACTGCAGTGACCCCCCCCCCCAGCACATCCTGAGCCGCGGATCTCAGGGGATCCAGCCTGCCTCTTGCGCTCAGCTTTGGGGGCGGTGGGTCCCAGCACGCCCTCTGCGGCCCAGGGAATCTCGGGCATGCCAAGGCCACAGGCCATGTCCAGACAGGCCACAGGGTGAGCCTACCTTGGGGATGGGGTTGCGGGGATTGGAGCAGCTAAACAGCCACGCAGGTGTCTCCCAGGCCCACTAGTGGGAAGGCAGGGCTTTTGGTGCGCACCTGGAGCCAGCGCATGCGTGTTGGGCAGCACCATCGCCTAACCCGAGCGCCTGCAGGGTTCGCTTCTGGCTCAAGCGGCGAGGGGTGCGCATGCGCGGTGTAGTAGACCCGCTGGGCTTGACACAGGAGTCGGCTTCTGGGTAGTTGCATTGCCTTCAACTCGCTATTTAAATATTCTGTGTCTCAGTTTCCCCTTTTCCAAAAACTGAAGGTGCTAGACAATCAATCTACTTTATAGCATGGTATGAGGTTTAACTAAGTTAACACGTGTGAAAAGCACAGCCTGGAGCTGACACACAGTAGGCATTCCGGAGATGCTCAGTGCTTTTAATATTATGACTAGAACTCATCCAAAAATAAAACAGCTTGTACCCAGGGACTGGGCTTCCTGTTTTTGATGGCCACCATGTTTCGGCATCCAATGAGCCAGCATTTTCTTTTTCTCTCAATTGTTAGCGCATTTGCATGATACCCCAGCACAAAATCTCGGGAAATGGTTTATTTATATGAATAGTCTCCCTTAATTGGCTATTAGCTGGAGAATATACCCCACATGGCAGGGTAAACTGCCCTGTGCCTGCAAGCAGGTTGTGCATTTCTGCCTCAACACTTCTCAATGAGCAGCAGTGAATTAATGCTGTAAGGACAACTAGTAAGTGCTCTGGCCTGTCCCCTCGGTGCCTCGGGCTTCAGTCTAAAGAAACCCGTTTACAGCGAAGACCAAAGGGACTAACGTGGAGTGGCCACACTGCTTTCAAAGATGACCTCTGCACTGAAAAGCGAGGCTGTGCTAAGGGCGCCAGCACAGCGCAGTCCGCCTCGCCTCTGGGAAGCAGAGAGCGCCTCATCTCCAAAGTGGGGGCACACAGCGCACAGAGCGGCCTCACCCCGTCCTGGGAGGTGCCAAGTCGCCCGGGGCGCTCGCCTCTTACCACGAACTCCTCCAGAGTCTGGTAGGTCTTGCCCCGGAACTCGCAGTAGTTCTTCCTCTCCTTGCACTGCGGGCAGCACTGGCTGGTGTCGACGTGGATGCAGCGCGGGTGCAGCCGCGGGCACTCGGGCTGCGCGCACAGCGGCCCCTCCTCGGTGCACAGGCACGGGCAGGCCGACGGGCCCGGCGCGAACTTCTCTCCGATGGCGTACACGAAGCCGCTCTCGTCCACGCAGCCCTTGCCGCGGTAGTCCGGGTACGCGTACTCCTCCGGAGGTTCGGTCGCCGGCGCGAAGTCCGGCCCAGACGCGTCCTGGGCGGCGGCGGCCGGGGGCTCCCCCTGCGGGGTGTCCCCGCGGGGCGGGGCCGGCGGGTCCCTGGCCTTGGCGCCCTCGCTCTGAGCAGCCCAGGCCTGCTTCTGCCTGCTCCACGCCTCCCGGCCGGCGAGCGCGCGGCTGCCCTTGCTCTTCCAGTCCCGGCCGCCGGCGCCCGCGTCCCTTGCGGGGCGCCCGAGCTCGCTCACCCGCCCCGGGCCGTCCCGAGACGCGTGGTCGCGCTTCTCCTGGCCGGGCTGCTCTGGCGCCTGGGCCAGCTTCTCCAGCGGGAGGCTCGGGCTGCACAGAGCCACCATCAGGCAGCAGGTGACCAGAAGGGAACTGGACAGCGCGCCAACTGCCATCGCGGCGGAGCTGGGCATCCCCTACCGCGTCCCGGCGGGCGGGCGGGCGGGGAGCGCGGCGGAGAGGCGAGTTGCATTCACAGCCCTGGGGCGCGCCGCCGCCGGCCGGGAGCCGCCGTCCCTGCGGAGAGAACAGCAGCACAGCTGAGCCGGCGGCCCGCGCGCGCCCAGGCCCCCACCCGGCCCCGCGCGGCCCGGCTCCCGCAGCGCTCTAGATGGACGAGCTGGGCCGTGCGGGCGGGGGCCGCACGCTCAGCATCCTGCACGGCCGGGCTTCTCGCACATCACGAACTGTGGAGACGTACGTGGAAGCGAAGTTCCAGAAAAACCCCGGCCCGCAGTGCTTCTCGCGCGGTCCTGAGGAGCGGCGGGAGCCGCGGACACGCCGCGGGCGAGCCGGACCAGCCCCCGCGCCCCGAACACCTCGGGGGGAGCCACGTAATTCAGGAGCCCACGGCGCCCCTCCCTCGGCCCCGGCCGCTCTTCCCAAAGGTTACTAAACGGAGAATTCCGCAGTGGAGTCGGAGCCTGACCACCGCGCTGGGAGCTCAGCGGGAAGCCCTCCCTCGCTTGCCCCCGGGGTTTGGGAGGAAGGGACGAGAGAGGGTTAAACAAAGCTGCTCCTAGGACCCCATTATTCATTTCCAACAACTTTTTAAATGTTTCCAGCGCAGGGAGCAGGCGCGGCTTCCCGCCCGCCGCCCCAGGCCCCACTGCCCAGAAGGCCGCCCCTGACCACCCCTGGTGGCGGGGCGAGGATCCCGGAGGCTCGGCCCCTCCGCCGGCCACCGCGCCCACCCCGACGCCCAGTGACTCGAGGCGCGGAGAGGCCCCCGCCGGGCTCCGCGCTCGGTCTCCTGATCGCTTTCCCCAGGAGGGGGTGGGGACGGCGGGGCAGAGAAGCCCCGGGCAGCGCTACTGTGTGCAGCAGGGGAGGCCGTGGGTGGGAGGCGCAGGGCGGGGGCGAGTCCCTCCGACTCTCCCGGTCTCGGGAAGCCTCTCCGATTCCAAAGTTTCTGTCGCCCAAAGGGGCTGAGAGAACCCTCGTCACCGCAGGGTGCGGGCAGCCCTGCCGCTCTCCACCTCCCTTCCACGCCCTCCACCCCCAATTTGGCGCCCTCCTGGCGTCTCCCTCCCCGCTCACCTCGTCTCCAGTAGGGCTCGGGTCTGCACGCCCTCTGCCCACTCCCAGCCCTGGCCCGGTCTGCCTCAGCCCGGGGAGAATCGCCCATATTTACAAACTTGGGGAGGGGGCGCTCCTTCGGAGCCGCAGGGAGGCTGAACGCTGCCCCGGGCACCGTCGCCCGACAAGTGCCCTCACCCCTGGGGGCGGATGCCCAGCCTACATACATGAGCGCAGGGCGCCGGCGGGACTCCGGGCTCGCGGCGGGCGCGGGGGCAGCAGCGGCGGGCGCGGTCCCGGGGCGCCGGCACCCATCCTCCCGGCGGCTGGCGACCCGCGCGGGGCGCACAGCGGAGAGCACAGCTCCACCTGCGCGCTCCGCCCGGCGCGTTCACCGGGCTAGGGCGTCTCCGCCAGCTTGCTCAACGCGCTGCGGGCGGCCGGTAGTGGCGGCCCCAACCCGCGTCAGTGCCGGCGCCGCCCTCTGCTGCTCATCCCTGGGTCTAGTCCCTGCCTCCACGACGCATCGCGCCCTGGGGGCCGCCCCGACTTAGCCAAGCTCCTCTCCTCCCGCCGGCGCTGGGAGCGCTCCAGACCAGGCAGCGGGAATGCCAGGCAGCCGTGGCGCCTCGGAGGGCGAGGGATGCCTGGAGCGCGACAGGCGGGCGAGTGGCACCGAGGCCGGCGTGGGAGCCCGCGGGCCCGCCTCCCCTGCCGCAGCCGCCTCCCGCCTGGGGCGCCCCCTGCCCCCCTTTTCCCCGAGGCCGGGGTTTTGAGGACCTCCCGCCCACCGGCTCCTCTTCCTGGCCGCACACCCTACCTGTCCCTCTCCCGCGCGCGGCCGCGTCCCCACCTCCGCGGCCGGCCACCAGCCTGGCCCCGGCTGCCATACTCCTTCCCTGCCACTCACTCTCCACTGCGCCTTTCATCTGGGCGTTTTTTCTTTCCTTTATTTTTTTCTCGAATTCCTTCCTTACTAATTGGCCCCCTCTGGCTCTCCGCCCTGTGGACAGCTTTGTTTCGCCACCGTTGGAAAACCTGACCGCACGGCCTTGCATTTGGAATCTGAAGGCCGGATGAGCTTAGCAGACAGTTGGGAGCGTTGCCCTCTTTACATTCAGAAACCCAGAGCGGTGGAAGGGCAAGAAACTCCTACAAATCCACAGGGAGCACGACTCCCTGCGGTCTCTCTCCGGCGCCCCTCTGACTCCCCTTTCCTGCAACAGGGACTCCGTTTAAGTTCGCCGAGGACTGGGGGACACATGGCACACGCATGCCCGAGGGAGGGTGACTTGCTGGAAATGCCTCCGTCCCGGAAGCAGCAGCAGCAGGTTTGCCTTCGAGGGAAAAACGCGGCAGGGAACGCGGGATGGAGGCGAGGCAACGCGCGAAGTCGGAAGTGAAGCAGGAGAGATGTCGAGAGCGCCGGAAACTTAGCTCTGCTCTTAGGCGGGTGAGTCGGCCATCTGCTGGAACTGAGGGTGGCGGAGGTGGTGATTGTGACTTGAGAGTAGAAAAGAGACTGTGAAATAAAATACGAATCGGGAATGAGGTCGGGATGACTAAACCATGGCCGAGAGGCAGGGGGCCTGTGGGGCCTGGGAAGCAGGCGCGGAGGGCACAAGCCCCCGTGCGCTTTCCCCACAAGCAGAGAGCCCCCCGGATGCTGAGGAGAGCTAGCTCTCCAAGTGCGTGGAGACGGGGTGCGCCACCAGCGCTTCCACCTGTCTGGGGGAGGCGCAGAGTAGATCCCCAAAAGAAGGGCCTTCTGAGGTCTCCTCTCCAGGTCAAGTCGCAGCCTGTTTCACGGAAGCGCAGAGCGCCCGCACTGCGCCCTGCGGGCCTCTGGCTGCCAGGGCCTCATGCAGGAGTGTTGCCCTCACTTAGCTCTCACCTTTGGGAAAGCCGCTTTTAACTTGAATTTTGAACTTGAGCCAGTGAGAAGGAGTGCCTGTCAAACCTTCATCTTTTGGAGTTAGAAGGAGCTAAAGCCACTTCCATCTGAAATCAAGGGTCAGCAGGATTTTTGTGGTTCAGGCAGAAGGTTGACCACTAACTTAATGAGTGGGAGGAGCCGCCTTTGGTGCTCAGGCGGCTTTGGGGGGATGTACCCAGAGCAGGCCCGGCTGCTAAGGGAGCCACTCATTACAGTTCTGCTCTGGACTGGCCCACCAGGCCGCAGAGGCAGCAGCTAATTCCGCTCCAGCCGGATGCCAGCCTGGATGGAGAGTTACTGCTCCCTGGCCAGCCGGCTGTGCAGGCTGCCTGATTACAGCGCATCTCAGAGGCTCGGCCTTCTGCAGTTATGCCAACAGTCACAGCATCTGTTCAGATCGAGTGGATGACTCAGATATTCTTCTAAAATCTGGGGCAAAAGCATGTTCCTTGATAGGAGGTTTCCAGGGATCCGTTTTTAATATACTATAAAGCCACTCACTGTATTAACATCACAGACCACAGACACACCTACCAATAAAAACGTTTCAGAAAGAAGCTTGATGAAGCGGGGCCAGCAGCACGTGCGGGCCTCAGAGCGACAAGCGCAGATCCTGCTGGCACGCGCCCTTGGGGAACCGGCCTGGGGCTTCGAGCTGTGCGTGCACTGTTTCAGGTTCTCCTCCTCCTTTTGGACAGCCCAAAGGAGGCCGTCGCTGGCAGGTGCTGGGTGCCCTGGGCACCTGGGCAAGACTTTCCTTGGGGTTGATAAGGGCCGTCGGGAGGCCACTCTGGAGCCCTTCTGAGATGGGGAGTGTTTTCTCTTGACTGCTGTCCTGGCCCGTGGTCTCCCGAGGAATCAGGCACCAGACTCAGCATTTCTATACTCTGCTCCCAGGTCCCCCAAAGCAAGCTGCGCGCAGCAGGAAGCCGGGTAAGGAGGGGAGGGCATTTGCAGGTAGGCTGATGACAAGAGTGGGTGGCGCACGTGTCTTTGGTGGAGAGTCTGGCAACTGTCTTCCTGGGATGACGTCTCTCCCAGGCCCCAAGCTGGTTGGCTTCTGGAACCTTCCATGGTGTGCCAAGGGGACCTGGGAATCCTCCGGGGCATTTCAGTGCTTTCCTGGACACCACCAGCCCCCGGAGCGATGGCAGGCCTGAGGGTGGGGTGCCACAGGAGGCCCATCCCGACCGGGTGGTCGGCGAGGCTGCTTGGCCTCTGATACTGGCTGGAGAAGCGAGCCGGCGAGCTGGCGTTTCTCAAGGATCTGGGTCCTTTGTTACAAGGAGGCCCCAAATCACTCCTGCATAGAACACACATAGAACAAACATAGGAACACCCAGACATCTGGGACTTAGGGGGACAAGGGCCATGACTGAGTCGTAAATCTGAGGTAAAAGCAAAGCTACTGGAATTCAGGCAACGGTCAGTGGTCGGCACTTAAACCAGGAGAAATTAAGAGTGAAGGGAAGGTGTGGAAAGGACGGGATCATCACAGGACACTGCGAACCTGCCCTCCCAGGCACAGCGAGGCGGGTCCCTCCACACGGGCCTCTGTGGAGTCCACGTCTGCTGGTGTTACCCTGGGTGTGTGTCGGAGGTCAGGGAGGGGAAAAGGGGGTGATTTGGGCCCGTGAACCTGAGCAGGGCAGGTTTGGGGCAGAGAGGGAGTAAAAGGGTCAGCAGGATTTTTGTGGTTCAGGCAGAAGGTTGACCACTAACCCAACTTAATGAGTGGAGAAGCCACCGTTGGTGCTCAGGTGGCTTTGGATGGGTGTACACACAGAGCAGGCCCGACTACGAAGGTAGAAAGTTCTGTTGCCAGGCGGTGCAGGCAACAGTCCCTTCCCCCAAATTCCCACCATCAAACTGCCCAAGAAGCTTCCCGCAGCTTCTCCCCCCCCCACCCCACCCCCAGATCTGCATTACTGAGCCTTTGAAAGGTAGCACTCCATGCCCCTATGCCCTTACCCTGAGTCACTTCTGTATTTCTGTATAGCATCTCTAGCCTGTAACCAAGCCAGGACAAATGTTTAGCAGCTGAATTACCGAGGAAATGCAAACAACACGACACAAAAGTGCTCTTTCTGATCTGGCCTTGGCCTTCATTTCCTGTCCCCCGCCCCCCACCGCCAGCCTGGGCTGTCACGCACAATAATTCTGCAAAGGCATTGAACTCGCCTCCATGCGGGCCCGCAGACTTTTCTCAGCCCTTCCCCAGGGTCTCTCAGGGACTCACCTGTCTCCCCTCACTCAAGAGCCTGCAAGGCAGGTTTTATCTCCAGCTACTGACAGGAACTCTTCTTTCAGCACCAGGCCTGAAAGTTCTCTGGGGTCCTGGGCCAAGAACTCTGCTTCTAGTGCTCGCCTATGCCTTCTGCATCCCAGTCATCCGCTGCTCTTTTGTAATATCCCAGAAAGCAATCCGAAAGGACTTGATGGAGGCTCGAGGGGTGTAACACCAGGTCCCAATCACTGGCCAGAGAAGAGGTGACTCAGGCGTCCAGAGAATTTGACGGTGGGCAAATCTTCCCCATCATACACCTGTGCGGTTGGTCTTACGTACCTACAAATCAGCCTTTATTTTATTCTTTACATCAGTTTATTCCGTTTGGTCCAGTATTCTGGCAATCCTCATTCTTTCTTCCAGTAAATTATCTGGCCAGCCAACATTTGTTTCCTCTAGAGCTTTAATAAGCACAGCTTCAAGGTTCTGTCGCCAAGTTAGGACTGCTCAGCTCACCGCGGCTGGTCTGATGCCACATTGAAGCCAAGGCTCTCACTGGGTTTTTCAGTAAAGTTTTTCAGGCAATTCCAGACTTGAGTCTACATCGTATTTCTCTGTTGGGCGCGAAGATATTGTTATTGCTATTCACTCCTTAGAGGTTTACTTAATTTATGCGCACACAGCTGGCCTTCCATATCCACAGGTCCACATGTGCAGCTTAAACCAACCCTGGATCGGAAATACCCCCCCGCCCCCCAAATTAGATACTGTTGCTGACGCATGCTATGTAGTTAGGACTGTGGTGGTTGTATGAACAGATGGCTTTTCT